TCAGCCGCGGTGGGGGTACGTCTCGCCGCTCTCGACCCTGCATATCCCTCACCTGTTCTAGGTCGTGGGGGAGGACGCGGAGGCTTCCAACAACGCGATTTTGGGCCACCGGACACAGTTTTAGGCATATTCTTTCCGGGGCTTTTTTTTTCTGTGCTCATATATCCTTCACTAGAGATGGGCTCTTTCGTTCACGCAGTCGAGGATGAGATGTTATGCTCGTCGCTTATGCCCGACAAGGTCCCCTACTTCAACGCCCCCATTTACTTGCAAAACAAGTCGGTCATCGGCAAAGTGGACGAAATCCTTGGGCCGATAAACGAGGTCTACTTTTCGATAAAAATGGGCGAGGGGATGGTCGCGAGCAGCTTCAAAAAAGGCGATAAAGTCTACATTGGTGGAGACAAGCTCCTACCGATAGATAGATTTCTGCCGAAACCAAAAGTCGCCGGAGGTTCGTCGAATAATCTCGGACTGCTAACTAGCCACTGACTATTAAACACCTACTAGGTATCACCAGTGAGCATGCCCCTGTGAATAAATCGTCTGTTTCTGTTGCTTACTTCTGTCAGAACGAGGGCGGGGCAGAGGAGCACCTGGCGGGCGCGGAGGGCCGCGTGGCATGGCCGGCGGGCGGGGTGGGTTTCAGTCAAGAGGTGGTCCACGCGGGGGTCGCGGTGGTTCGAGGGGTGGATTCGGCGACCGTGGCCGGGGAGCACCAAGAGGAGGTGGAGGGTTCGGCGGTGGTGGATTCGGCGGCGGCGGTCGGGGGGGAGGAGGAAGCTGGGCTCCGCGTGGTGGTGGTGGTGGGCGTGGAGGGTTCCGTGGTTCATAGCTCTGCAATCCAAACCCTGCTGCTTCGTGCATTGAGTCAAGGCGAAGACGCGATCACGTTCATGTTGCCGCGAGAATTTTTATTATCCACTTCTTCCTTCATGTCGTGGGCTGCCCTCGACGTCGAATGAAATCGCGAAAGTAAGGCCACCGCCATTACATACTGTTTGTCCAACGCTGTCCAACGCTTGCTGAACGTCTCTTGCTCTGAACCAAACACCCGCGATGGCCTTGCAGTTCTGGAAGCCTGGTACCACGGGCCCCGGAAGTAGTCTTGACCGAGACACTGACGGAGAGGGTTTTGCTGTTCCCTCTGCTATATCTTCGCTATCCATCCAAAACCAAAGGGAACGCCTGCCCATCTTCAAACATCGCACGTTTCCCGCATTCTTCCTCAAGACATAGTCTTGAATCATCCTTCCAGGAGATAAGCTTCTGTATGCTATTGAAAAGCATGGAGTAATCATCGTCGTGGGCCAGACCGGCTGCGGGAAGACAACTCGTAACGTTTTTCGATAGATATTTATCTATTCCAATCCCAACGGTTTTCTAGAGTTGCCGCAATATCTTATGGAATCCGGTTGGGCAAACAACGGAAACATTATTGCCTGCACTCAACCTCGTCGCGTCGCTGCCACCTCGGTTGCTGGCCGAGTGGCTTCTGAAGTCGGGTCCATTCTTGGGGACGAGGTGTGTACACGGTTCGCTTTTTTTGCGTGCCATATTCATCCCATCAGGTCGGATATACCATACGTTTCGAGGATGTCAGTGACAAGGAAAGAACCCGCATACTGTACATGACGGACGGGATGCTTTTCCGTGAAACATTGGTCGATCCCCTACTGAGTCGATACAGCGTAATTATGGTGAGTTCCGAGCGCTCATTTCAAAGCTGAAAACCTCATTTTAAGATAGATTGACGAAGCCCACGAACGTAGCGTTTATACGGACCTCCTGCTCGGCGTCTTGAAGAAGTGAGTGCAGGAGATCGTGGAGCTTAAACCTGGCTTACATCTGACGTACCAGAATCCGGCGCAAGCGACCATCTCTCCGACTAATTGTCTCTTCGGCCACTCTCGATGCTACCTCTTTTCTTGATTATTTTACATTCTCCACTTCGCCCGAGGAGGCCACTATCGTCAGTCTCGAAGGCCGGATGTACCCCGTCGAGGTGGCGTATCTACAAGATCCCGCCCCGGACTACGTTAGGAAGGCAGCCGAAGTCGCTTGGAACATTAATTTGCAGGTATGAGTCCGCATTTCTGTCTCATGTTTGTTGCCAACCTCCCCGCAGCAAAGTGGCGGCGACATCTTGATATTTTTGACAGGTAGAGAAGATATTGAAAGATGCCTTGAAGAATTTTCGGACTTGCTGCCAACGTGAGTGACATTCCTTTTGTTTATTGGCGTTGCTGACTCTGAGTATGCGCAGCCTACCTCGAACTGCCACACGGCTGGTACCATTGGCTCTACATGCTGGATTGTCAACTGATGAGCAACTCCGCGTCTTCGAACCTGCCGAGCGCGGTACTCGCAAGGTCATAATCTCTACCAACATTGCCGAGGTGAGCTCTACTTGCCAAATCGCTCGACCAAGCACTAAATGTACATAGGCTAGCGTGACTATCGAGGGAATCAAGTTCGTGGTTGATTGTGGCTTCGTCAAGGTTGGTGTTGTCCCCGTCACAGCGGCACTTTTTCATCTTTCTCAGATCAGAACATATAATCCGACGACTGCACTTGCTTCTCTAGCAACTGTACCGACTTCTGTTGCTTCGGCAACACAGCGGGCAGGACGAGCAGGGCGTACCTCTCCTGGCGTCTGCTATCGTCTATACCCAATATCTGCGTTCGACTCTCTTCCATTATCGACTCCACCGGAAATAACTCGGACAGATATGACCACTCCTATTCTGCAGCTCAAGTCGCTGGGTATAGATGATCTCATGAAATTCGAATGGGTCTCAGCACCACCCGCTGAAAGTGTACTCAGAGCACTGGAAGGTCTTGTAGCCGCAGGGATGATCGGCGAAGACGGGCGTCTGACTGTGATTGGAGAGCAAGTTGCAGAGTGCCCCGTTGAAGTGGGAGTTGCACGAATGGTCAGTGCCCCGATATCCCATTGTTGTGTCTCTGAACCCCGGTCTAGTTGTTTAGTTCAAAGGAGCTGAAATGCGGGGAGGAGATACTGACCATCGCTGCGATGACCTCTGTTCAGGTGCGTGCTCCATTCTTTGTACTATGCAGCCTAATGATATGAGCGTAGGATGTCTTTGTAATCCCCGATGGAGCCCAGGGTGCTTTGGCTGAACTTGAACGAAGAAAATTTACTGCCGAAGAAGGGGTCAGCTGCATCTCTTCTTCCTCGACGTTAACTGACAGAAACACTTCATAGGACCATCTCACGTTGTTAAACGGCACGTAGCATCATTGATCCACACGCTTGCTTTCCTGATTCCTTACCAGCTTACAATGCGTTCACAAGATATGGCCGCTCCTCCGGTTGGTGCAAATCACACGCCTTGTCGTTCCGCGCGATGTCGCGTGCTGTTTCTATTCGCTCTCAGCTAAAGAAATACATGCAACGCTTCAATTTGCCTACCGAGAGTTGTGAAGGGGACGCAAAACGCCTGCGCCGTTGCCTCGTGAGCGGCTATTGGCGCAACGGGGCGAGGTGGGTGGCTGATGGGACATATCGGTCGGTGAGAGGCAACCGGGTACGCAAAGTTCTTTCCTTCCCCTTCCAGAGTCCTGACCACTGCCGCAGACGTTACACGTGCACCCGACTTCTGTTCTATTCACAAGAAAACCCCGCTCTGGATGGGTTGTCTTTCACGAGATGGAAGAAACCAAAAAGACTCAGTAAGCTTGTACAATCTGGGCAAGCATACCCGATGTAACTTCCACTCAGGATCCGTATTATCACAGAAATTGAGCCCGATTGGTTGGTGGATCATGGGCACAAATTTAATGACAGGCGGGTGGAGGGTCGCCAATAGGAAACACACGTAGATAATGTACAATCTCCTCTGCATTCGAAAGTTGAGTTTGCTTGATCGCGCCTCCTTTCCACAACCTTCAAGTTTCCAATGATGTTCGTCTCGTGCGTGGCAGTCGCCCCCACGGTTCTGCTGCTGGGTCGTCTCGCTGACGCGCGTCCGGAGCTCTTCCAAGTTGTAAGCCATGTGCTTGCCTTGATGTCATCGCTCGGCTTACTCTGTGCTCCTTTGTCTAGCCATTGTACGCCGTTCCAAGAATATTGCCCCAAATTTCGACGGTAGCATAATAATAATACATAGCAGGTCGTGTCGCGTTTCTTGAGCACACCATATCCTCATATCGCCACCAGAACCTCATTGGAGTGGAACTGATTCAATAGCTTGAGCTTCGGCGATGCCTGGAAGCTATGCGTGGATGAATGGGGTACAGTCCAGGTCCAAATAAACCTGCCCCTCCGAGGCATAAGTTTTCAGGGGATATTTTGGTAGGGTAGGTAGTAGGTAAGTGTATTCCTGATGGACATGCGCGTTGACAACTAGTACTTAACCCCTTTCCCCCTGTTATCCTAACCCATCGGGACCACGAAGGTCTTGAGAAAAGATTTCACCAACAAAATCATCTCCGTGCCCTTCAAGTTTGGCCGTGACTCGGGAGGTACTTAGCTTTGGGGCATTTCCGCTTTGAGTTTCAAAGGATAAGCTCTTTCAGCATACTATCAATTGCCCACCTCTGCAATTTTTTTGCTCTGTCTCGCACGTCTGCCTTCTCGGGTGGACTTCGGAATTTGGGACGAGTATTTCTAGCAATATCAAGAGGCTGAATATTAGGTACCTTAATTTCTGAGGCAGAATTCGGGCCACAATAAAGTTGCCGAGACGCAATGTCAAATCACGGATGGAATTTTTTTTCATCAGTTGGTGTGCGATCAATGCGATCAAAATCCGTTGGTTTCCGGCTACAGATTTTCTGTTGGGTTCAATGGGTCTGTATGCTCTACAAGTGTGTTACCACACTTTGGGTACCAGACACATCTCCAAACTTTATCTCGAGGCGATTGAAGCAAAACTGCGACCGCCAGATCAAAATTTTGCATGGGTAGGTGGGTAATCAAAAAATATCCGAAGTAGGAACGAATCTTCAAAAGCAGGTGAAGTCCCAAAAAGAGCTGGACGCACAGGGGTTTGAACCCTGGACCGCATACAAAGGATGATCTCGAAATCAAACCGGAAATCGCTGCAAAGCATGAGTGATACCACTACACCATACGCCCATGAAGAAGAATAGAATTTATACTACTTTGAGCTCAGCCCATCGAATGCATGCGCGAGCTCGAATAATGGTCACTTCGATGAAGCTGACAGGTGAACGGAGGTGTAACCTCATTTGGAGGAGAATAGTAGCCAATGTTAATTTAGCTTTCCCTGCTGAGCAAAGACCTTGCAATAGTCCGAGGCTGAGTAATTGCCTAGTGCAAGCCTAGTGCCTCTTTTCAGAGATGAATGCAGGTAAAGGCAAGTGCATGCTGGTAAAATACCAATCCTCTGTCAATTTCGAGGTAGGGAAAAAAAACAAGGTCATATTTAGATTCAGCACCTCAAAAAACTATTAAGCCCGGGCTAGATGTATTTTTCAACATTCGCGCTTGCCTCTTGGTTGGAGATCTAAGAATGGTCCGAGTCCGGGTAGACAAGCTGTGTAAGTATGAGTACACATAAACTCTACTCAAATAGCCGAGTCGCCAGCCTCGTCTAAACACCGAAGTTTGAGGAACACATCACTGCCTGGATTGCAAAATCACCATCCATCAAAAGAAATGCGGACACGAGAAGCGCTCACCCCAGCCTGAATTGAAAATTCAGTCCCATGAAAATGATGAGGAGTGAAATGTGCTTACCCTCCAATGATACAAACTCCAAGCCGCCGCCAAAGTACCTGCCAACAACGCATTTGATTGCCTGAGTATGAATGCGAGCCCTAGAAACTCACGTCGCGTAAAGTTTACTCATTGGGAGTCCATATCCGAGACCGGCGATTGTCCCCATCCCTGTCTGCAGCCCCTTGGAAGTGATCTCGCTGAACAAGTTCGTGTCTCCGATGTTAGCGAGCCCCCCAACGTGCTGGGCGGCATACGGGCCCCCTCCTCCGTCCGCATCATGGTCAGACTCATTTTTTGCAGTGGTAAATGCGTAAGAGAAGATCCGTGCCATATTACTCGGCGACACGCCGCCACCCTCGTCCCGGACCCGTATGGAAAAAAAGTTGGAGTGCACGGTACTGGTTGCCCCATGCGTGGGTGGAGAGAGTGTGATGCGCACGGGCGGCAGGGCGCGACGGGAAGCCTTGTGGTGCTCTACTGTCGCGCGGAACGAGTTCTTCAATATTTCGGTGAGAATGTACTCGAGGTGCACGGGGACGTATCTGCACGCTCGTAAGCTCCGTAGGCCCCTGAACGAAGGGCATAACATGAGTACGCACGCAAAGGTCGCGTCTGGGTACCCGTCGATTACGACGGAAGGGCTCGCACCAAGGGTTGCAGCGCACAGTTCCGTCACGTAAGACTCGCACATGCGAATCATCTGTGACGGTGAACACTGCATGTCTACGACGCCGATGTTCCCAACCGCTTCCTGAGAGACGGCCTCCAGCGCATGCGAAATGGCGATGTGCTGCTCAGCGATGAGGCGCACAGATATCCGGTTGCGTATCGCGCCGTCAAGGAAGTTGCTAACTTGCGTCGGAGACATGTACTTTGCGCTCTCCAGAAAGCTAAAATGCGGTGGTGTTCACAGCCCAAGTGGCAGGGGATAAACAAGAACGGACCCTTTCGCCATTGTAGGAATGTCATTGGCGTGTCGTTGAACAAGGTCTTCGAGTTGTTCGGAGAACTTTTTGTTTTGCTCAAGGGTAGTTACCTCAGGATAACTGTGTAGAGATTGAAGTTGCTGCTCCCGCTCACAGAATGAATGCTGCTAACGTGGCAAGAAGCTGGAAGCTGTCTCTGTACGCATTGAGCGTGGTCGCAACGTAGGGATTGGTCCCGACTATGAACGGAAGAGATTCAAGAGACCGCACGCGCATTGCAAGCCGCCGGGGTATCTCGGCGAGGGCATAGGTCACGGACGAGAGCACCGAAGTTGGGGTTACCTTTATAGCAAATGGATGAGCTTGGAATCAAGGCCCGGGATGGGATATTACAGGACGGCCATAGGACAGCAAGGACGCAAGGTCGAGGGGACGCGAGGGAGAAGACGCATATCTTTGGAGAAGGTGAGTTAGGTCTGCACGGACATGCGATTTCAACATGAGCGGAAATGGGTGATCATGAGCTTTGTCATCCGGAATTGCAGAGTGTAATGCAGAATTAAGGTACGGGCTAAAAACTAGAACAACGACAACAACAGAAGCAGATATGGGAATACAGCAGACCGGGTATGAGCCAGGACTTTTAAATGAATTAGTCTACGAGCGGACTCCTCAGCATGGTCAAGAATAATAAAAAAACGCCCAAAATATATAGCTCATTTTCCAGCCGTCGTCTACATCATGGCTGAGCATCATTCTAATGGCAAAAGAGAGTGGAGCTCACAGCAATCCCATTCAATGCTCGACTGGAGTGGTAAGTCGAGAGACCCTGGCTTTGTGCGGTTCTGTATGACCGTGACGATCCGAGGGTCGAGGGCTGCGATGAATTGCTCGGAGTCGTTGGAGCACCGTTTCCAGTAGTTCGGGATGTCCGCGCCGTGAGAGGTGTTGGAGCACTGATCAGTGACTTCTTCGGAGTCTCCAGCACTTGTTTGACGCGACTGCTGCCCAATGTCGACGATGAGAGGGTCGCCTTAGGTGTCGTGGACGCCGGGGCTTTGGGACGTTTCCCCGCAGTCACAAACGGATGTCTCATAGCCGCTTGGGGCTTGATTCGTCGCTCGGGATCCCAAACCAAACATTTTGAAATGAAGTCGACAAACTCTTCGTCGTTGCATCTCAGAACTTGAGCAAGTGTCTTGGTGCCAGGTCTCCTCCGTCTACCCTTGGAGTTGATTACCGCACGCGGGGCCCCGTTGGGATCTGCAGGTAAACCGTCAGTCGGACGTCAGGTCAATGGTATGGAGACAAACCAAAAAACAGTTTCTTCCGGGAGCTGCGGTTGACAAACTCCTTGTCGGGGGTGCCAAGGACCTCCATGATGCAGGAGAGCTGCTCTTGTTCATTCTCACCCGGGAATATGGGGAAGCCTGTGTACAACTCCGCCAAAATGCACCCCAAACTCCACATGTCGATTGCCATATGGTAGTTCATACCAAGGATGACTTCGGGGGACCGGTAGAACCGACTTTGAATATAAGTATAGACTGAACCTATATCGTTAGCACGGAATAGATGCCCGAGGATAACAACAAACTTTTCTCGTGCTCGAGACAGCTGCTACCGAAGTCGATGACCTTGAGGGCACTTTTGGCGGGGTGGCGCAACAGTACATTCTAAATAGGCCGGTTTAGAATGCTGAACCTGAGATAATAACGAGCACCGACCTCCGGTTTGAGATCGCAGTGGACGATACGATGATGGCGCATCAACGAGAGTGATAACAGCATTTGGCTGGTAAAGCGCCTGATCAACGCAGTCGTAAAGCCAACGAAACCGTTGGCTTTGATGAGCTCATAAAGATTAATGCTGAGCAGCTCCATCGCAATGCATAAATGGTTCCGGAAGTAGAAATGTTCCGTCATTTTGATCACGTGGTGTTTATCCTCCGAATCCTGCAGAAAAAATTGTCAGATTCGAAGAATGGCAAAGGTAACGGGGAACTTGCCCATTTGCGAAGGTTATCAAGGATCTTGATCTCCACCAGTGCTTGGTGGTGGAATCGTTTCTTGTTCCGGATTATCTTGACTGCAAGGGACTCCCCGGTACAGTGATCTCGGCAATGTAGCACTTGTCCGAAGGATCCTTTCCCCAGGGTGTCGATTATCTCGTACCGGTATGAAAGATGGTCGTGATTCACGACGAGATAGTCGCCTCGATCGTCATCGTACCCGTAATTGTTGGTCGAGTTTTCCAATACTGCAGCCTTCTTCTTGCTCCTCGCACCAATGCAATACACAGATGGAAAGTCGAGGATTTCTTTACGCTCAAATTCAGACAGGAACTGATTCTGAGAGCTTTTGAGAATGGCTGAGGAATTTTATGGTTAGGTATTATTAGCTCGTGAGCGAAAAGAAATCGACTGACCCGCTGGGGTCGAAGGAGTGCCTGGTGGTAAAGGCTCAGGGAAGCACAATAGTTGGTCCAACTCCTCTTGCGTTGCACCAGAAGCCATTTTCTTGGCCTGCTGTCGGCGAATGTAATGCATCATCTCCTCGTCACCTTGAGCCTCCTCGTCATCCACAGAGCTGGGAGCAGGGGACGGAGTAGACAACGATTGGCGACTCGAAGATGGAGAGTTTGCAACCTGTTGAATACTCTGGGTAGAGGTGGAGTTGGAAACACGTGTTGAAGAAAGCCCGATCTTGGGACTGAGAAGCTTCAACCCCCGAGATGGGGAAAGCGCAGAGAATCGATGAGAGGTCGATTCGGAGGCCGCAGCTGTGGACGCAGATGCCACCGAACTCGTCGAGGATTTGCGGAGACCAGTGAACGAAATAGATTCGCGATTCGGTTTGCGTGTCAGGACGCTCGATGAAGATGAAGCAGCGGTAGCTATCGATTGTCGGGGAACGCGGGACGTGGACACTGTCGCAGGAGACCCCCGAACCGACGCGTTCCGGGCCGGCCCCGACACAGTCTTTGACTGCCCGTCCTCACTCTCCATCACCCCAAATTCGTTCGCCGACATGCCAGTTGGTGAAGGGTTAGTAGAGGACGACAATCCGCTGACGGTAACACTGGCGCGACGGCTGTTGAAGGCACCTTTCTGCATCGGTGAACCGACCGTGGACGACCGGCTGGATATACGGGGGATCTTGGTCGGGGTTTCCTTCGGCAAACCCGAGACAGAGTTAGTCAAGGACGATGGAGGGGGTTCTTTCGTCTCCTTTGATGTCTGTGCCTGTACTCCATTCGTCCCAGTTGTTCCAACAGAAGGGGATCCCGCTATGGTGGGCAGCAGATTGCGAGCGCGTAGCGAGCTATCAGACTGCTTTTGCATGGAGCTCACTGTTTGTGAGGTGAGTCTCGACGCTGAAGCCGTCCGGGTAGTACTGCTGGGGGTGGAGGACGGTGTCGAATTGGTGGAGGAAGTAGACTTGAGTCGAGCAACGCGTTGGGCCGTTG